GTGATAAATTGGTGTATGTGAATTTGATATATACATTTTTTATTTAATATGTTAAATTTATTATTTTATTATTTTTAAAAATAAAATTATTTTAATGATTGGATTCAACATTTGTCATTAACATAGAGTATGTCAAATTTAACATGTTAAGTTTATGGGTATTGTTATGGTGTGCAACCCCTTAAGGTTGCACACCATATGCAACCAACACAAAAAGTGTAAGTGGAAGGTGTAAACATAAAACAGGACAGCAAACAGAAAGGCATAAGTGTAAGGTGTAAGTTGCACACTTAAGAAAAGTCCTAAGTTTATACCAAACACCAATGTAGCATTTGACATATCGAAAATAATTATTACTTGATACTAAAATATAATCATTAAAGGGTTGCACCAAATTTGAAGGATCAATTGGAGGTGTTTATAACTTTGGTCTCTAAACATCCATGTTGCCCAACAAAAACAAATTATTGGGATTACAAACTCTAAATCTTTTACATAAAATTTATTCAAAAATAATAATTAACTGTTCAAATTTATTTCATTCATAGATCTTAAATTTCACTAATTTGATCATTTACCATACAAAGTAATTATGAACAAAATCTAGAGATACAAATTTGGGTTGATAGAATTTCTCAAAAGAGATATATATTTTTTATTTTTTCCACCAAAATAGCTTGACAAAGACATTAGACCTCAGGTAGGCTTTGAAGCAGGCCGGTTGGTCGGGCCAAATGGGCTAGACTCATGAGTCGGGTCGGGCTTCAAAATAGAGGGCCCAGGCCCAGGACGAGTTTCGGGTGGGCCGTAGGCCGATGGGCCGATTATCTGCCCTTAGCTACACATAGTGCACTTGGACCAATCAATAATTTTTCCTTAGCATTGAATGGTTCATTATTCAAAGTCTGACAATATAATAAGGATTTATTTCAACTTTAGGAGAAGTTATTAGTTGATTGTAGGGAACAGCTAGGTGATGTCTCAATAGTATTGTGATTGGTGAGGAGGTGGGGTCCACGATTTTGTATCGAGTAATTGAAGAGTAAGAGGAGATATGGTGTATTGTGATTGGTGAGGAGTATTACTACATGATACTCTAAGAGTACCAAATAATTTTTCCAACTTTAGTCTCCAAATATCCATGCTCCCAGCAAAAACAAATTAGAGGGATTACAAACAAATTCTAAATCTTTTATATGAAATTATTCAAAAATAATAATTAATGATTCAAATTTATTTCATTCATAGATAATAAATTTCACTATCTTTTACCATACAAAGTAATTTTGACCAAAAATCTAATTTGGGTTGATAGAATTTCTCAAAAGAAATAGATAAGCAGCAGTGGTATCAATCAATGAAAAAGTTTAAATGAGAATTGATGAAATTATTTGATTAATTAAATGAGTGATAAGATTTTACTTCACCATTTTATTATGGTAACACGGTTATTATAATAATTATATGATAAATTACATTGACTTTTCCTGAGAGTTCAAGAAAATATAATAAATTTGACATAATTATATTAAACTCTTTTAAAGTTTCAATTCACATAATATTTAGTCTTCTTTTCATCAACAATTTGTAAGTGATATGGTTAGAAAGAAACTAGGGCAAACTTCAATTTACCTCTTGTGGTTTGCGCTGTGCGCAGTTTATCCCTCTAATATTTAGAAATGACCACATAACCTCCTTGTGGTTTGTGGACTGATGTGCACAGTTAGGCCTGTTAATGATTTAATAAAAAGACTAAAATACCCTTATGTTTTCATCATTTGTGTTAGGTTTTTGTAATTGACAATCTCGTTTGACAAAACTCTTTTTAATTGTAATTTTGTTCGGTCTTTTATTTTAGTGAGGTTATGAGTATCTAGAAGCGAATCCAATTAACTCGAATTGTGCCTATGTAAAGGAGTTTGTAATCTTAATCCTATCTTGTTTGCCACTTCGCTGGTTAAGTCGGGGATCGAGCGAAGATGCAATCCTTTCAGAAGTTTCACTCGCCTACAAAAGTACTGGGAGTTGTATTTTTATGCTCGAGCAAAGTTTCTTACGCTTGAGTGTAGATCCTTATTCTGAAACACGCGTTTTAGTCAAATCGCTCGAGCATCCATTCTTGCGCTCAAGCGGAGATCGCGATTTTGTTTTCTATAAATCTGTGATTAATTCAGTTTCTAGGGTACGACTTCCAGATCTTCTTTTTGAGTGTTAGGGTTTTCATCTAGAGCTTCTTTACTTGTTTCCTTTGATATCTATGAGAGTTTATATAATGAATTGAGTGGATTATATCAAAGGGTTTATTTATTTTGTTTTATTTACAAAAGATAGAGTTGTTCTTCGATGAATTCTGTGGAATTTGGGCCTGAAACTTTTGTGAATTCCAAAGTGGCTCATTGTCATGGATTCAACATCATTGTTGTGGATTCAACGTTGAACAAGACAGTTTCAAGGTGAAGACAGTAGTGGAAGAGGCACGTTGGGGTCGGTTCAAATTGGGCGTGAATTTGCTAGGTAATTGAGAGTACACTTGTGTAATTCCTTTTGATTTTCTTAGTGGATTATTTTGTGGCTTTGGCCCGTGATTTTTATCACAATTAGAGGCGCTCCAATTGTGATTTTTTCATGTTAAATCATTGTGTCGATTTGTTTTTGATTATTTGATTGGGATTATTATTTACTGGTTAAAATTGATACATAATCACAAATTAACATCTCGAAGATTTTTTAGATTTTTTAATTTGTTGGGAAGGTAAAATATACTTTAACTCCTCGTGCTTTATTCCATGTGTGATTTACCTTCTTGAAATTTAAAAATGACCATATAACCTCCTTAATCTGCCACCTATTTCATATTTGCTGTTAAGTTAGATGGAATGTTTAATGGTACACTTCAGTCCACAAACAATGTGGAGGTTATGTGGTCATTTCTAAATGTTAGAGGGGCAAACCCCACATGGCTTACACCATAAGGGGATAAAATAAAATTTGGCCAAGAAAATAATGTTTCCATCCCTTCTACATGGAAATGTGTATTTTAACTAATTTATATTCTAATTTATATTTATGTATTCACATCATCTGCATTAATTTTGTCGGTATAACTTTAATAAAAGAGAGATCAGTGTACTTTACCCTAATTATATTTACAACAAGTCTATTTACGCAGGCAAAGGATGCCAAAAAGTTACTTGAATTGTGATTGTAGAAAGTTACTCAAATTGTGATTGTGATTGTGAGGTAGAAATTGAAGTTGTATTGTGTAGAGGATTGAAAACGAATCGAGTTGTTCGTGACGTAGATTAGTTCCACTCATTAAGAGCTCGGCTCAATTTATCTCATTTAATAAACGAGCCGAACTCAAGTTCAAATAAGTTCAACTCGATAAATTTGACTCATTTTATTCACATCATCTGCATTAATTTTGTCGGTATAACTTTAATAAAAGAGAGATCAGTGTACTTTACCCTAATTATATTTACAACAAGTCTATTTACGTAGGCAAAGGATGCCAAAAAGTTACTTGAATTGTGATTGTAGAAAGTTACTCAAATTGTGATTGTGATTGTGAGGTAGAAATTGAAGTTGTATTGTGTAGAGGGTTGAAAACGAATCGAGTTGTTCGTGACGTAGATTAGCTCCACTCATTAAGAGCTCGGCTCAATTTATCTCATTTAATAAACGAGTCGAACTCAAGTTCAAATAAGTTCAACTCGATAAATTTGACTCATTTATCTTTATTTAATTTATATAATAAATATATTATTTATGTATTAAATAATATATAAAAAACCTTATCGAGTCGAGCCGAGCTCGAGCACAGTTAATTATCGAGTCGAGTTTGAGCTAAATAAACGAGCTTGATAAACAAACGAGCTAAGCTTGAGCTCAGCAAAATTCGGCTCAACTCGACTCGGCTCGTTTACAGCCCTAATTGTGTGAAGGCATATATAGTAAAATAAATCTAAAGTATCGATTAATAATTCTAAGTAGGATTCTGAACAAAAAAAATTATAATAAAAAAATCTGAACTTGAAGTCTTATTGTTCTATGTAGGTATAAAAAACTATTAATCATCTTAACTATATATTGGCCTCGTTTGAAAAATTGGCTATTTTAGTAAATTATTTTAATTTTTGACTATTTTAGTAGGCTAAAATTTTTGTGTTTAGGAAGAAGATTAGATTTTTCTTTTTTAGTTAGATGTAATGTTTGTGAGAGAAAAAGTGAAATGATTATAGGTTTAATGTGATATTTTATTTTATTAACCATTGTAACTTATTTTATCTTTTTGTGAATTTTAGTGGGGAAAAAAAAAACTCAAATTTAACTTCTCAAACACTGCCATTATCATTACATTTGTGATGAAAATTACAAACTTTCTTTTTCATTGAATGAATAGATCAGATACTTACACAGATATTTATATTGTGAAATATCTAACTAACTCTCTAAGTACTAACTCACTAACAGACTCTACAACCAATTCGGTTATAACAAGATTCTCTAGCTAAACATGCTTGTGAGATACATGGTATGGCAGACAGCTCTGGATGATGCTATGACTGTGACTGTGACTGTGACTGCACCTCTGTATTGGCTGTGTGAGCTGTTTGAGTTGTTTGAACTGTGTGGGCTGGTAATTGATCTGATGATGATAGTTTATCATTCCCCTGCAAGCTGAATGGGCATGGAAGCACAAGCAGTTTGTCTTTGAGATAGTGAAACCGAAAGCGAGACAGGGGCTTAGTAAAAATGTCTGCAATCTGATCAGAAGTGGAAACATACTTGAGAGCAATCTTCTTAGCAAGCACTTTCTCACGGATAAAATGACAGTCGATTTCGATATGTTTCGAGTGAGAGTGAAACACAGGGTTAGAAGCTAAGGCCATGGCAGAGAGATTATCACACCCAAGTTCAAGAATAATAGGAGAGACAATGCACATATCTTTAAGAAACTACTGTAACCAAGTAATTTCGGTAGTGGCATGGGTAAGGGCTCAATACTCGGCCTCAGTAGAGGACCGAGAAATAGTAGCTTGTTTCTTGGCAGACCAAGAAATCAAGTTAGGACCAAGAAACACACAATAACCAGAGGTTGATTTCCGATCAAGACAGTCACCAGCCCAGTTGGCATCAAAAAAGGCATGAATAGAGAAAGGACCAGATGTAAATCGCAAGCCATGATGAAAAGTACCTTTGATATAATGTAACGACCTTTTAACTAACTGAAAATGGCCATTGGTAGGTAGATGCATAAATTGGCAAGCCTGATTAACAGCTAAGGAAAGATCTGGATGAGTAAGGGTAAGATAATGTAAACCACCAATGATACTATGGTATAAAGAGGGGTTAGAAAAAGGAAGAGAATCATGAGAAGTAGAAGGAGGTTTGAGAGCCAATGGAGTGGAACAAGGCTTACAATCAACTAAGCCAGCTTTGTGTAACAATTTAGTGGCATACTTAGCTTGAGTAAGGAAATAATCAGCACCTTGACATTCGACAGAGATGCCCCAAAAATATGAGACAGAACCCAATTCCTTCATGGAAAAAACCTGATGCATCTGAGTGATCAAATGTGAAATCGGAGATGAATTACTTCCTGTAATCAAGATATCATCAACATACACCACAAGAAGCATGAGGCCAGCAGAGGAATGATAAACAAAGAGGGAAGTATCGGACTGGCTATTGGTAAATCCCTAAGAAAAAAGGAAAGAAGCAAATGTAGAATACCAAGCCCGAGGGGCTTGTTTAAGACCATACAGAGCCTTATTCAACTTACACACTTGATTAGGATATTGAATAAAACCAAGTGGTTGTAACATGTAAACCTCATCTTCTACTTTCCTGTGAAGAAATGCATTAAAGATGTCTAATTGCTTGATAGACCATTGATGATGAAGAGCCATACACAGCAGAATCTAGATGGTTAGCCACACGACTAAACGTTTCTTGAAAATCAATACCCTCTTGTTGAAGATAGCCTTCAGCTACCAATCAAGCCTTGTATCGAGCCACAGACCCATCAGAGTTCCTTTTGATTCGAAAAACCCATTTACAACCAATGGCAACCTTATGAGGAGGAACAGAAACAAGATCCCAAGTATGTTGTTGTTGAAGAGCTTGATACTTCTCTTGCATAGCAGTGACCCAAACAGAGTAGGTAAGAGCCTCCTTGACAGTTAAAGGTTCAGTCTGAAGAAAATCAGAAACAACAATGAGAGCAACAGGTCTATCTGTGGAACGAGTAGTCATAGGATGAATATTAGAAGAAGGAGGAATAGTAAAAGGAGGTAGAATTGGGAGATCAATAGAAATTGAGTAGATTAGAATTGCATGGGAAGCTGGAGAAGAACACAAAGGAATAGAAGAAGAGGAATTTGCCGATGGAGAAGAGGAACTAGGATAGGACTGAGAATGAGAGACTGGGAAAGATTACTTTCAAGAAAAAGAAATAGAATATGAAGATGGCCAGAAAAAGGAATGAAGAGTATGAAAAGAAGATGAAGAAAAGGAAATAGGAGGAGATGAAACAGCAAAGGGAAAACAAGTCTCATGAACAAGACATGCCTAGAGATATAGATTTTGCCAGTAATAGGGTCTAGACATCGATAGCCTTTAATTGTAGGGTGATAGCCTAGAAACACACAAGCCATGGACCTAGGTTGAAGTTTGTATGCTGTGTAAGGCTTAAGCCATGGGAAACATGGATAACCAAAAACTTTGAGGAGAGAAAAATCTGGAAGAGAATGAAATAAGACTTCAAATGGAGACTTATGAGAAAGAACACTACTAGGCATTCTATTAATGAGATACACAGCAGTGGCAACTACATCAAACCAGTAATGTAAGGGAATAGAAGACTGATGAAGAAGAGTGATGGCTGTTTCAATAACATGACGATGTTTGCGCTCAGCTACACCATTTTGAGCTTGAGCGTAAGGACAACTAGTTTGATGCACAATGCCATGAGCAGATAAAAGAGAATAAACCTTGTTATTCACAAATTCAGTCCCTTTATCAGTTTTAAGTATTTGAAGATGAGTGTGAAATTGTGTTTCAACATATGCTTTGAACTCAATTAACTTGTCATATGCCTCACTTTTGTAATGCAAAGGATATATCCAAGTAAAACGACTACAATCATCCACTAACAATACAAAGAATCGAAAAGGAGCATTATTAACTGTAAATGGCCCACATACATCAGCATGTACAAGTGAAAAGGGACAATCAACAGAAATACTAGACAATGTGAATGGTAATCTGTGACTCTTAGACACATTATAGTCCAAATAAGACAAATGTTTATTGATGCGAGGTTTATTAGGTAAGTTCTCAAAGTGTTGAAGCTTGAGAGAAGAGGGATGGCCTAGCCTTTGATGCCAGAGCAGATCAGAGACGGGAGTAGTTGTAGTAGTGTGATGAGCTTGAGAGGAGCATGATGAAGATGAAGGTGTAAATTGGTAATGACCACGAACATGAGATCCTCTATGTAGGACCCTGCTCGTGAGTTTATCCTGAATGATAAATGAGTCAGCATCAAATATTACAAGTGGCCCACATACATCAGCATGTACAAGTGAAAAGGGACAATCAACAGAAATACTAGACAATGTGAATGGTAATCTGTGACTCTTAGACACATTATAGTCCAAATAAGACAAATGTTTATTGATGCGAGGTTTATTAGGTAAGTTCTCAAAGTGTTGAAGCTTGAGAGAAGAGGGATGGCCTAGCCTTTGATGCCAGAGCAGATCAGAGACGGAAGTAGTTGTAGTAGTGTGATGAGCTTGAGAGGAGCATGATGAAGATGAAGGTGTAAATTGGTAAAGACCACGAACATGAGATCCTCTATGTAGGGCCCTGTTCGTGAGTTTGTCCTGAATGATAAATGAGTCAGCATCAAATATTACAAGACAATTGTGATCCTTTGTTAATTGATGAACAGATAAGAGATTAGAGGAAATAGAAGGAACATGGAGCAGATTAGGAAGATGAAAAGAAAAAGCAGGTGTAGGCAAAAGACCTTTACCTATATGGTGAATTGGTAAAGCAGAGCCATTGCCTACTTGAACATGTTCAGAACCTTGATAAGGTTGAAAATGATGAAGATTAGAAAGGTCATTAGTTAAATGATTAGTAGCACCTAAATCGATGTACCAAGAAATGACAGATGGGTTTGCAAGCTGAGGCACTGTGGCAGCATAGGCTTGAGAAGAGTGTGGAGAAGACTTCTGCTGAGATGTAGAAGATCGAAAAGTAGTATCTAACCTATACCAATAGTCCAAAGCACTGTGTCCTGACTTTCCACAGATCTAACAGATAGGACCATGAGAAAAGTAATCACATCTACCTCGAGTACTGTGAGACCTGTTGTTGTATCTACCATGAGAATTATGAAATCTGCCTCCTCTAGGACCTCTAGACTAATATCTACCTCTGTAATTGTTGAAACCTCTATTTGAACCAAAAGAAGAGGAATGTGGAGATTCAACTACATTGTTTGAGGAGGATGAAGAACTTTTTCTTGTAGAATAAGCACTATTGAGATGATCACTAGATGAATGCTTCAATTTAATTTCAACATGAATTTCCTCTAAGCACAATAAGGAGCATAGATCTGCCATAGAGATTGCTTCAAACCTTGTTCGAATGGAGGTTTTGAATGAGTCGTACTCATCAGGTAGTCTTTTCCAAGTCAAAAATACCAGATCCTCATCGTCGATTGGTGTACCAGCCAAAGCCAACTGATCTGAGATCTCCTTAATCTGCATGAGATAAACTTCCATGGAAGATGATTTCTTATGAATTATTTGAAGCTAATTCTTTAGTTGATGAATATGCGATCGTGAAACTGAAGTGAATCACTTTTCAAGAATCTGCCAAACTTGATTACTTGTTTGCAGATGAAGAACAGAAGAATACACTATAGATGATAATGTGGTTGTTACACAACTGAGAAGATGAGCATTAGTCTTTTGCCATTCTTCATACGTTGGATTTGGAGATAAAGTTCCAGATGAATTAATAATCTCCATTGTTGGACATGGAATAGAACCAGTAACATAACCAAGAAAGCCAATAGCGCGCAACACATTATGCATTTGATTTCTCCATATGAGAAAGTTGCTGGAATCCAGCTTAACAGTAACCAAAGAACTGAAATTCAACAAGAGCAAACTCAGATTGGAGGAAGCAACTGACATGGATGAAGGCAAAGATGATTTTGCCATTGAAGGATCTTGAATTGTGCTCGTGAGAGCTAATCATGCTTTGATACCATGATGAAAATTATAAACTTTCTTTTTCATTGAATGAATAGATCAGATACTTACACAGATATTTATATTGTGAAATATCTAACTAACTCTCTAACTACTAACTCACTAACAGACTCTAACAGACTCTACAACCAATTCGGTTATGACAAGATTCTCTAGCTAGACATGCTTGTGAGATACATGGTATGATAGACAACTCTGGATGATGTTGTGACTGTGACTGTGACTGTGACTGCACCTCTATATTGGCTGTGTGAGCTATTTGAGTTGTTTGAATTGTGTGAGCTGGTAGCTGATCTGATGATGATAGTTTATCAATTTGTTTAATAACCCCACCACTTGTAAGTTGTATATGTTATCAATCGCGTGAAGAAATGATAAACAAGTTCTTGGACATTGATATGTTTTTTTTTCAACAAAGACCGAGGCAAACGTTTTCGTTACGACATAGCTTTGTGGATTGGATTGTATTATTTGGATATGTGGGGTCTACTATGAGTAATTTATCGATAATTTGAATCGTTTATTTTTTAGATCATAATTCATACGTAGATCATCTATAAAAAAATCAGGTTGATTTGATAACTGTAACTACATTAGTTTATTACATTTGTTTATCAAAAAATGGATGGTTTACTTTTTCAAATAATATTTGTCGTTTATTTTTTAAAATAAATGTCATGAATTAACGTGGCACAATTATCAGATCGACCTGATTTCTTTCATAAATGATCTATACATTGCAGTTTAAAAAAGAAACAATTTTATCATCGAGACGGGATCCATGATGAGCCCCGCTAGTTCAAATAGCACGATTCAATCCACCTTGTGAGCTGAAGACAAGTTGTGGCCTTTAATGAAAACGGAAAATCCTATGTAGCATGAAACTATGTTTTGAAAAAAAAAAATTTATGGGAAATTTTACTTTAAAAATGAAGTGCATGGTATAAATTTAATTTGATAGGACGTGGGCCATATTTAAAATGATTGTGATTTATAGATACACTTTTATTGCAATTTTATTTTTTCTAAATTAATAAATAAATAACTCAAAAGTTTGAAGAAAATAAAATGTGAATCAATCTTTAATGTGTGTTGTAAATTATGTCCAATATGACTATGATTCACATACTACATACTTTCATTTTTTTTTTTTAACTTTTAATTTTTAATTGTTTTTAATTTTTTTTTTAGTATTGTTATTAATGTCCAAAAATTAGACTCATTTTCTAAATTTAGTGATTTATCAAAAATAATTGATTAATAATTAAATATTTTTTAATTATCAACCAATTATTATCTTAACACATCATTAAATCTAAAAAATAGAATTGTATACTATTTTCTTTTCTTCTTCTTCTTTTTTTTTCTTTTTTTTTTTTTGGCATTCCCTATCATCAATGTGAGAAAATATACCCAACTACCGAAATGGTAAAATAATAACTTCACAGCCCAATAGCATGGCGTGGAACTTGGTACTTCCACATATCCCAACCTCCTCCATACCCAAGTTAACTCCTTGCCATCTTCACCCACCCTAAAACCCTTCATCCAATCCCACTTCGATTCGAATTCATGGAAACTCCTCATAACCCTCAAGAACCCATCGACGAATTGGCCATGGC